TTAATCTTTAAATTTTACTCACGATAAATGTGTAAATCTGTTGGAAAATATCTTTGCAATTATGTCATGAACAGCTGCCAAACACCTCGGCGTTTTCGTAGTTCAATGTAAAGCTGTCGCCAGTGTCTCCGTGTTTATCAGTGTTTAACGATAAGTATGCCGTTAGTTACTGAAACCGTAGAATGTTTTTGATCAAATTGCAAATTAACAGTAAACTGGCTCGGACAAGTGTCTCAATCCATCGGATCCATCCATCCCTTTCCGCCGACCGAAATTCCTCCAACTTTTTATCATCAATCTTCGGACGTGTTTCTTGTGTCTTTTCAGCATCGATTATCATTTTTCAGAATAAAAATATTCCCAGACAACAAAATTTGTCCGTTGTCTGTTGTCGTTGTCGTCGTTGGCTTCGTCGTTGTTGTCGTAAACTTTTCACATTTTCATCTTCTTCTCAAGAACCACTGGGCCAATTTCAACCAAACTTGCTACAAAGTATCCTTAGGTAAAGGGAATTCACGTTTGTTCAAATTATGGGCCACGCCCTTTTCCAAGGGGAGAAAGGCATTTTAAAAAAATCTTCTTCTCAAGAACCACTGGGCCAGGAAAGATGAAACTAATATGGAATCATCCTCAGTTAGTGTAGATTCAAGTTTGTTAAAAGCATGACCCCCGGGGGTAGGATGGGACCAAAATGGCCGATGAAATTTTTACATAGAAGTTTATACAAAAACCTTTAAAAATCTTCTTCTCAAGAACCACTGGACCAGGAAAGATGAAACTCATGTGGAATCATCCTCAGGTAGTGTAGATTCAAGTTTGTTAAAATTATGACCCCTGAGGGTAGGGTGGGGCCACAATGGTCGATCAACATTTTACATGGGAATATATAGGAAAAATCTTTTAAAATCTTTTTCTCAAGAACCCTTGAGACAGGAAAGATGAAACTCATGTGAAATCATCCTCAAGTAGTGTATGAAGGCATTCTCAAATAGTATTAAAATTCAAGCCCCCCCCCCCCCCCCCTCTCAGTTAACTTTCAGTTCTGAGCTGATATTTGCTTTTTCCTAGCGGATGTGCTCAGGTGAGCGATGTGGCCCCTGGGCCTCTTGTTCAAAATCTACGACGGACGGTAAGTGCAATAATTTAAATTCGAAAATATTCAATTGTCTGTCTCAAATGTATATATAAGTAATAAATAACAAGTTTAAAAACTTCAATGGGAATTAAACTGCGTCGGGACGGTAAGTGATCAAATCTTTTGGGAAAGCCTTCGACCTTCACAGGATTTGATCACGTGACCGACCCACTTTAATTCCCATTGAAGTTTATAAACTTGTTATTTATTTCTTAAGTGAATTGTAAAAACCTGTGAATAAATATACAGAACTTTTTGAATTCAGAGATTTTTGTTTGAGCATTTTCAATTTTCACTCCTGCATTGCAGTTGATCACACCTTTGATGTTTTAGATGTCCATGTTTTTGCTCTGTTTCAAAATTTGTTTTGTTGATTAAATGGACTTAAAGCTCGAATACCAATTGTTTTGTGCATTTATAAATTAACTCTTAGAAGTTTGAATGCTTTGTATTGAATACTTTGTATTGTTAAAAACGCAATTTTAGATTATGCAGCAGACATTAACGATATAAATCTTTTCCATCAAAAGTGTTTTGCGTCTTTTTTTTTTATTCTTGCTCATCTGTTTTATTTATCATCTTATAAAATCATTCATGGTCTTTACAAAACTTAAAAATTGCATAAATTACGTCCCAAAAGAAATAAAATTTAAAGCTGAACTCCCCTTTTAAAAAGGCACATTCGCTTCCGAAAGTTTTATATCAGCGCATTAGCTATGCAGAATACTTCCGTCTACACTAGTGAAACTGTTTACATTGAACCAAGACAAAGAGAACAACATAAATATAGGAGCTGTGAATTTAAAGAAAGTGCAGAGTAATATTGCGGATAAACATAGATCTTTGTTATTTACTAATCGTATCTAGCTTTTAAAAGACCCACCAGATTATGTGAAAGCAGATGGAGCAATTCAAGAAAACCATATACTTTATTTCATATTCTGATGTTATTAAGTGTAACTTATAAGTATGTAATGCTATGTGTGAACAATGATCAATGTGGTATTCAATTAATTAGGGATTTAAAAAAAAAAAAATCAGTATCTTTCTTCTTGACAAACTTTGAAGTTCTCTATGATTTTGATTGCACACAAAGTTGAATTGAATATTCACATGCATTCCAATCTAATTTGGCTTTCCAATATTATTTCTTACACAAATGGTTTTCCAGTTTTCGACTTTCACATGTATTTACCAATACTGGAATGAAATTCAAAGAAAATACTGTGTTTATCTCCACATTGTAAATAATACTGTTTTATAACATTAGATTGACCTCTTTAGGGAGTGGTAGATTGAAAATTGGAAAAAAATGATATGAATCTTTACAATGTTAAAGATATTGTTTATGTCATTAGATCGGACTGACAAACAGGACTGGGTTATTGTTTTTTTTTAGCTTTCCATTATTCGTCTGATATAACTTTCTATATTTCTCACGAACAGATTCATTTTACTCGTCAAATTGATGAAACAATTAAATAACCACATGTTTTTTTTTTATTCTGTGTTGCTTTCCTTGTATATTGGTCAGTTTTTCATAGATGGTACTCTTCATAAATTTTTGATAGTAAAAAAAAATCACTTTAGATGGTGCTGGATTAGAATATAAATCAAATACCACCGGTATATCTATCTCTACATTGTTAACAAAAACAACGGCGCAAAACTTTAGAACGGATTGAAAAACAGGAATTGATTATTGAACTCAGTTAGCAGTTGTTTTCATGGTATTTCCCTCTATATTTCTCTAGAACGGATGTTTTTACTCAGAAGATTGAGGAACCCTGATTATATCTTCTTTTTATAGCAGTAGGATGTTGCGTGTTAATTTTTTCAGTCAACCTGCTACATATAAAGCAGTGTTTAATATCAGAAAGGTTCAATTAATCGATATAATTATACAGTAGTAAATACCATAAATCACGAATTTCTGTTTTGCTTTTATAGTAGCATAGTGCACCCGGTTTTAGTTTTGAAATCAATTTTCAAGGCAGATTTATTGGATTTTTGTTTCATTTGTAAATGTGAGGGTCCTATCTTTGTAAACTGCCTTGTTCTAGAAGAAGGACGAACGAGTATTTTTTTTTTTATAGATAAACTAAGCTGTCCTAAACTTAATTTAATTACAACGGAAATCTTTTCCTACAAATGTATTTTCAAACACATGTATCATTTCTGTGAAAATGATTTATAACTTTAGAAATTAAACTACTTACTTCAGCATGAAATATAATTACGTATTCAACTTCTTGTCAATATTTTCGTTTTGAAAAAAAGTTATGTACCATTCTTATTCAAAACAAGGCACTTGACGTACATGTATCAATAATCAAAATTAATGTCGCTTACAAATTTACATGATCAATTTATCATAAAACATGAATTGAGGCGTTTTACAAGATTTCGATATCTTAAATATTTACTTGATTTTCTTAAAGTTTAGAGATTTCCCCTCTACGTATAAAAAATATTAGTGAAATAGAATTAAAGTATTTTCAAATTACAAAGAAATTTTTAAATATTTACTACGTGAAAATGATATATATCTTCAATATTTTTTTTGTAAAAGAAAACACATTGCCCACTTCGGACCATGTTTAAAAATACAAGTGAAATAAAAGTGAAATAAAATAATAGAATTGATGTAATATTGGTGATCTGACAAAGTTCCATATCCTACCGGTCAACTATCCAAATGTAACATAACACATGAATTGTGTGAATATTGTCATTTATTAGATGACAATACATCAAATATTATCATTCTATATAATGATAACAAAAACAATCTAAGGGGAGATCTAGACAATACTGACATGACAAGTTGCTTTTATAAAATCCCTGAATATGACAAAGTGATCTCCCCTGTTACATAACTTTACAAAACTTTGACAAAATAAAATACAACATAAAACTTTTCACCAAACTATCCAAAAATGATATTTTAATATATACAAAACAAGAAGGAGTAGCCACCAAAGGCAAACAGAATGTTTGCAACCCCCACACATAAAATAATAGTATTTTCATATACCGACGAGAAGCAATCTCAACAACTGAAAATAGCAGAAAAAGATATCCTTTACATGAAAATGGATAGAATACGCTGGAAGATTATGAGTTTTTCATAAGTAGTCGTGTCTATTGAAAATTCTCAGAAGGGAAGGAGGACACATTGATACGCTCTCACTTTCTTGAAGACACGTTATTGAGGCATTGGTTGACTGGTTAAAATTGAGTCTTTAATCCATTTAGTGACAAATGACAATGCTGACAAAGAACAAGGATTTTGTAAATAAATCAAACATTCATACTTAATTTTATTACGGTAACCGTAGAAAACACATTTCAGTTTAAAGTATCCCAAATACCACCCTTGTCAAAATGATTCATACCTTTAGATATTACAAAAACCTTATAACATATAAAAAGAAGTTACAACGATTCAAAAATATTTTTGTCTTGATCATAAAAGGTATGTTCTTTTCTAAAATTAAACTTTATTTAATAAAGAAAAGAGGAAAAAAATTCACTTGTTTATTTACACACCACATAATTTATCAATATGTGAAATCGTGAAGAATACTTTTATATACAAATATTTAATTTGAAAAAAAAATACAATTATCAAATTACCTTTTAAATACTTTTAAATGATATATAGATACAGCGACTAAAGATTTAAGGCTAAATTTGGCAGCAAACAGAAATCTTTTAACAAAATATGATATCATATATGTAAGTTATTATTCACAATCTATTATGTAGTTGTATAAGAAACAGGCTTTCTGGTGTCGCCTGGCCGATTGGAAATATATCTTTAAATAAGTTTCTTTCTTTTTTTACAATGCCTTTTGATAGGATGAGTATGCTGAAAGCCACTGTTCTTGTTGTATGCATACTGTCTGAAGTCTGGGCAAAAGAGGGCACGCAAGACTTCATTGATAAATACATCAAGTACAACACAGTTTGTAGAGGGATGGGATATAGAACTAAAAACTGTTCAGGAATAAAAAAAGGTATTTAATTACTTTATTTGAAAAATACTTTTGACTTAATTTAAAAATTAATTATCATAAACGCTTAGACAAACATACTAAATCAAAACACACACCATGTATCTTGTGTTAACAATGTTTCGAATTTCTATCTGACCACGACGATTCGAGCTAAAGATATTGTTAGTTTTGTGGTTAGATACGCAGCTAGGTTAATGGCTGCCAAACGTATATCAGTCTATGCAGAGCTTCGGAAAATCAATTATGACGTCACGGTGAAACTGCACGAATGAATCTCGGCTAATAAATAATAATTTCTTTTTCGTATACTTTTTCGTACAGTGATTTCTCCTTATTATTCTAAACATGAATTAATGTGTAACTTATCTTGTCATTACAACACTATTTGAATGTAAAATTAAACCCAACTTGATCTCGCTGTACTGACAGATATGTCGTCATAGACTAGTTTGACACGCAGTTTCTCTGCACTTGAGACGCAGATCGAACTATTATTGAATCTTGTAAATGAAATTTAATAAAAGTATAGTTTTGAATGCATTAATCAATATTTGACAGACAGTCTTATTAAACTGATAACGGATAGATCTCTTATAAAACCGCACTAATGCTCTTTTATACACAAACATACTATAATCACAGGCACAACCCCTCGAAAATCTCAAAAGTTCAACGATATCCACTTAACTATAAAATATGATTATTTCATACACATGAAGCTATTGTCCCTACTATTTTGAAAAGTGCCGGGAGCAAGTTGTGCGCTGATGATTTTTCTGTAATTTTACATTATTTCAATGCGTATAGTGTAAATGCACGAAGTTTATCAAAAGACTGTTAAATTTTACATAATTCTTGGGCATGGGGGAGTTGCTCCCAGCACTTTTCGGGTTAAGAAATTTAGCTTTAAGAAAACACAATGAACTTCTTGGTGAAAAATTATCCGTATATCTTTGAACTTTAAAGATCTTTATATCTAATCATATTTTTTCTAATTTTAACCATGTCACATGACAAACAGCTGATGTACATTAAGTCGCTTTGGCCGAACTCGGTTAAGACCCCATACATACATATGCATTAGTACAATTCTCAGTAAATTAAAACTCATGCTAATAAAAAAAGATATCAATATCATATCGATTTTTGCGCAATATTTTAAGACACATTTCCTATTCATGAGCGTCCTTTACCTAGCTGCGTAACGTCGTATGTGACCACAAAATCTATGTATAAGTATAACTGTCAATAAACCATGAAGTTTAATATGTGACCATGATTTGCTTTTTGAAATAATTTAAACTAATGTATTAAGGAGTTAAACTCAGCGACTCAAACCCACTCATAGTCAAATCCTGACTGACGTTTTTCATACTAATTGTTAGTCTATTATTTACACTAAATTGACAAGCTATATGATACACATGATGACTTTAACTTTTCTATCGCCAACTTCCTTTACTTATGCAGCAACATACCTTCATCACCTGTATACGGAACGTATATATCTCAGTTGATTCGATACGCAAGAATATGCTTTACGTATGAACGATTTCTAAAACGAGGTAAATTATTGACAGGCAAGTTGATGAAACAAGAATATCAGCATTCTAGTTTAAAGTCACCATTTCGAAAGTTCTATGGTCGATAAAATGATAAAATTATCAGTTAATACAATTTATCACTGATTCAAATGCTGTCTGGCGTTCTTCATACTAATTGTTAGTACATTACTTAAACACTGAATTGACGACGGATTTTTCGTTATTTCCCGATCATGACAAGGAGCACACGGCGGGTGTGACCGGTCAGCAGGGGATGCTCACTCCTCCATGGCACTATTTCGGAGGTCCGTGTTTGCTCTGCTCCTATTTTGTATTGTTTTATGGTCTTTGATATTGAATACTGTTCGTTATCTCCATATCCTTCTTTCTAATCATGACAAGGAGCACATGAAGGTTGTGACCAGTCGGCAGAGGATGCTCACTCCTACATGGCACCTGATCCCACCTCCAATGCTTTTCCTCTGCTCCTACTTTTTATTGTTGTTGCAGGTTTTAAGCATAATAGATTGTGTATTACTTATTTCAATAAATATAGTATGTTCTTATAGCACGATAGTGATATTTAAAACAAATTTTTCGATAGTGTTATCTTCAAATACTTCTATCTATGGCTTTCAGAATGAATAAATTAAAATTAAAATAACAAATGTCCTATAGAACAATCGAAAATTAAAAATGTCCAGATATATCTATGTGCTGGCTTAAAGCCAGCTTGGTTACATCGACCATAGAACTTGTAAAATTATTGTGTTTAACTGGGCTTTTGATATTCTTTTTCGTCAACTTGTTTGTCCATTGCTTGCCTCGTTTGAAAAAAAAATGGCCGAACGTAGAGCTTGATTTTACGTATCGAATCAACAGGGAGACACACTTAATATGGAGATGATACATGTAAGGGTATATTGCTATACTAATAAGAGAAGCTGAAGATAGAAAAAGTAAATCCAAAGAGCTGTTTTTAATATTGAAATTATGCCATTCATTTTATAATGTTTACAGAAATACCAAAAAGCAAAACGCAAAAAAAAAATCATCTAAGATTTAATCGTCTGTTTTAAGATACATTTAAATGATTATCTTCATTATTTGTTCTGATAGAAAACATCGCTTTTCATGCACTGATGTCGAAAGATCAGGCAAACCTAGGTAATTACGCTGTTGTTGTTTTTGGGAGAGTAACACAAAACTCTGGAAATGCTTATAATGCTAAAACCGGTAAATTCACAGCACCCGAGGATGGACTCTACGTATTCAACTGGACGATTCTGACTACAGATGGAAAATACTTCCACACTCAGATTGTTCTCAATGGTAAAATTATTGGTTATAATAATGCTGACGGTGTGTCAGGTAGTTCTAGTAGGGCATCCGGATCTTCATCTGCTGTTATAAATATGAAGAAGAAAGATAAAGTCTGGATAAGAACAAATGGTCGGGAAGGAAAATATGCTTATGCAGTCTGGTCATCATTCACCGGATTTAAAGTGTAGCAGAATTATTATCTGAAATAAATTTGCTAAACTATCGAAAACAAATTATGTTGTATATTTTAAAAGAAACAAAAGTAAAAAATGACATGACAGTGACACGACAATAGTCCCTAAATGCATATTCTAATTACGCAATCCTTCCAGAGGGTACAAAAATTAATACACAATGTATTCAATTTAAATTAATGCAAAATTTATAACTCGATATTTATCGTGTCCAAGGTCTGTATTCACCTCTTCTCAGTAGATTCAAAATATAAAAATATGATTTCAGTATTGAAAAACATAACAAAGTTAGAATTTAGGAAACTTAATTTATACTTAAACCCATGTTTCTCTGACTTGTTGTAAAATAAAATTTCAACGAATCGCTGAAATAGCCTTTCCATAATCGAAGGAGGAAAAAATATATAATAGGATAGCTAGAATACTTTATTTCTCCCTAGATTTCTATGCATCGTTATAAAATACACCATAAACAAAAATATCAAATCAACATTTAGTAAACTAATAATATTTAAATTGAAACAATTGGGCAGTTCTTCTCCTCACTGAGTTATTCAGACAACACAAATGTTTGCAAACTGCATTACATCTACATCTTAAAGCATATAAAAGGTTTCTATCCGAAGATGATCAAAAATGGTATTTTTAATCGAAAGACAATACAATTAATGATAGATGCGAAGAAAGATTACCAAGAGCAATGTTTTTTCATTAATCTTTGGGAAATTTTCCAAGTTTAGTATATTTGAACGGATTTCTTATTTTACAAATGAGTAGAGGTGCAATCAGAATTGGCTTAGGAAAACCAAAACAAGTCACACAGGAATCAATGTTTTAATGTTACAACAAAATTATTTGTTTTGATCATGAGTTGTATTTTCTTTTGTTACAACTGTAAAATGCTATTTCATGAATAAGAATTCAATACATGTTAACCAACAATTGGATGAGTTCAAAAGGATTAGGATAAGAAAGGAGTTTTCTACTTTAGTATAGTAGCGTTGTCCCTTTTTACACACTTGGTTTACTGCTTAGATATAAGCAAATGGTATTGTGTTTGATTTCATTGTGTACAACAAAGTTTTTTTTTTAATCAAAGCATTGTTCATTTATAATGAATAATTAAACATATCAAAAACTATAAGCCAATTTTTAACACCCATCGCACTAAAAAATGCCGAAACATTTTCCCTCATCAGACTACTGTAACTCTTTTACATGGAAAGGGGCGGAGACATTTAGATTAGATGCTATAAAAGGAATATTCTTGATATACGATGTTTTCCTTTCAAAGACGGATTACATGTTCAAGATTCACTTACGAAATTATGACTTTAAACGAGACTGCTAACATTCTTGTTTCATCAATAATTTACCTCATTTTAGAAATTGTTCATACGTAGAGCATGATCTTGTGTATCGAATCAACTGAGAATTATAAACTCCGTATGCAGGTGGTGAAGGTATATTGCTGCATTAGTAAGGGAAGTTGACGATAGAGAAGTTAAATTAAAGTCATCACGTTTACCATATAGCTTGGTTGTTATATTACCATTAACGTCTTTTTCAAGTAAAATTCTAGTATCCAAATATGAAACAAATGTGTCAGACTCTGTGGTATCTTTTATCTCAAGCTCACCAGTATATATCGTATCAACATAAGAATGGAAGTTACAATTGTTAATTGACAATACGTCGTCGATATATCTAAATGTCGAGTTGAAGTCCACAGCAAGTGTTTTCTTTTTTTCACGCATAAGATTTTGCACAAATTCTCCTTCATATGAATACAAAAATAGGTCTGCTAATAATGTGGTGCAATTGGTGCCCGTGGGAATTTCAATAGATTGTTGGAGCCCATGTGAATTTCAAAAGATTGATGGAAGACCTAGTCTCAAAAACAACATAGATATTGCCAGTCAGGGAGACTGATAAAATTGGCTATGGGATCGCAATGTTTGAGTATTTTTAAAAAACTGAAAATCACCTTCCATATCCCTTAATTTACAAAGAAAAACATCTGTCATTTTTTTGGCATTTCTTCTCATCTCTCTTTCCAAAGGTCTGTGCTTGCACTTCTCACAATGTGTATGGCTGAACTAGACTTTTCAGCATGATCTGTCTTATCTTTTCATAACCTTTTATGCATATCTTTTTTGTGGATATTTTAGAACTAAATGAAAATCATCTTCATATCCCCTAATACACAAAGATATCATATTTATTTCCTTGTTTCTCACAATTTGGTATTTTTTAATTGTTCAATCATGAAAGCAAGTGCATATATTCTTCATCTTGTACTTTTATCTTTTGATCATTAAAAACAAGATTCAAAAGTTAAATTATCCTATAAAATTTTGTACATGATTTATGTACATAATTAGCCAAATTTGTTACATAATATTTCTGACATTCACTTCACACATTCTCTTATAAAAGATATTAATTGTTAGAATTCTATTTATACAGCTGATGTTACATGTATCAAATCTTGATATTTCTTATAGTACTTTTTCCTAATTGACACAATCTTAGCACACATTTTTAAAGGGAAAATAAAAGAAATATTTCTGGACTAAGCATTATCTCTTTATAAGAAATGCCTCGGAATATTCGAGCTCATAATACATGTACCAATGATTACTGTATGCAATCAAATGCTACTTGTAAAACTGAAGCCACTAACCCCCCAATTAACATATCTTTCTACTATTAAGAGATAAAACCTGTATAAATATAGATATGGTTTTAAATGTTGAAATCATCTTTGATAGATCAAAGAATATTTTTGATATAGATGTCTTATGCTTTATGGATTATTCTTTCTTAAGCACGTTATCTCCATGCAAAAGGATGAATTAAATGATAATGTACAAACTAGTGTCTAAATCGGTGAATGAAAAACGTCTCAGACTAACACCTTCATTAAGATGTAGGCTCACGTAAATCTTTTTGTAATGTAAATGTTGGTACTATCCTTTACCTTTAAATGCACAAAAAAGTGATTTTGAAACGTGCTTCTAACCCAACAATATGTGTGTTTTTTGTGCGCTTTTCGCTCCTGCAAACCCTTTTCCATTTTGTGCAAGCCATAAGGCGTTTCGTGCAAACCATGTAGCGAACGCGTGAAAGAATTTAAGAAACATGCAACTTTCGAGCAGAAAAAAATTCAAACGGGTAAATCAAAAGTCATTTCATACATTTAAAAAATGGCTTAAATGGGACAATATGTTGAAATGTGTTTTCATGAATCATATTGATATCTTAAGAATAGAAATTTAAATTGAAAATCGTCTTTAGCAAGCCATCTACGATTCCTCCAGATAAGGATTTGGTCAACATTACAGATATCGATACTGATGATAGAGGAAAAATGAATCTCCGAAAATGGGACGGATGTTGATACCCGTGTAAATGAAATAAACATCTCTAATCTTAATTCAGAATTTGAAGAGGTAATGGACAAGTCGAGATTTCCAGATACGGTAACAAGGAAATGGACAGACAACGCAACATTTATTTGGATCAATTCAACAGAACAAGATCTAGATACGCAGCATTCCTCTTTGCTAATACCTGTAAACGGAGTAACAGTTGGCTTTCTTGTTAATGTCCTTTTATGCCTTTGCAATATTGGAATTCATAGACGACCTCAGGACTTCAAGAATAACTGCTAAACCAACCCACTGCCACATCATGAGACATGTCTAAATAAAACAAGCAAGAATTGTGGTCCCCCGCTTTTGGTATCTTTGTGGGTGAGATTTTTTTTAATGACATATAGTGTCTAATATGAACATCCTATGATATGTCATTTATTTAGAAATGATCATTGAAGTTGATTTTTTCAAAATATAAGGTCAATCGTGAAGGTCAAGGTCAAGGGGTAAGAAATCATAGCATGCTCGGAATTATCTTGTCAGAGGTAATGCACATGTCATATATGAAAGCTCTATCTCTTCTCAAAATAAGGAACAAAATGTGTTTGTGAAACACTGATGACCCCGAATGGCAACATGACGAAGATGAAAATTTACTTAGATGCAAATTGAAAATATTATTACCCAAAGTAGGGTTTTTCTGAGAAGAAATACGATTGTAAAATACAAAATCCCTAGCCCCACCTATTCAAAAGTTATAGTCAAGGACAAATTTTTGAAAGGTAAGTCAAGCTCCCAGGTGACAGGGTCTGAGTTGTACCTTTCTTAAGAAAGGTCTTGTAAAAAGTAATGCATATGTGAAAATTAAAATCCAAAAACCTAACCATTCAAAAGTTATGGCCAAGATTAAAGTTATTTTTTTAAAGTAGGTCAACTCTAAAGTCAAGGTCAAAGGGTTAAAGTTCTTAGTATCCAATAAAAGGTGTTCTCGTAAGAATTACATGTATTAAGTATAAACTCCCTAGCCCTTACTATTCAAAAGTTATGGTCAAGGTTAAAGTTTTTTCATAAGTACATTAATCTCCGAGGTCAAGGTCAAAAGGTCAAAGTTGTTGGCATCCAATGAGAGGTCTTGCTACAAAGAATACATATTTGAAATGTGAAAGTCCTAGTACTACCATTCAAAAGTTATAGCCAAAGTAAAAGTTTGGAACTTTTATGTAAAAGTGGATAAAACTTCAAGGTCAAGATCAAAAGGTCAAATTTGGTGGTACCCAAAGAAAGGTCTTGTCGCAAGAAATACACATGTGAAATATGAAAGTCATAGCCCCATTAAATCAAAAGTTATGGGCAAGGTTAAAGTTTAAAGGTTAAAGTGGCCTTAGATTTTTTTGCGTTTATTACTTCTTTTTTTGGAGGGGGGGGGGGTGTGGATGTTGTTGCAGTGTTATGTACAATGTCTGTTTGTAAATATTACATTATCTTGTATATTTGATGTTATTTTTCTGCTTTAATGTAACAGGTTTCTGCGTGGAATCGCGACACATTTTCGTGCTGAATATCTTACATTACCTTTTAACATTTTATTGCAGTTACCTGTATTATTTGATTTTT